CCTTTGTGTTGTTTGCCTTTGCTGGGATTTGAGCTTGAGACTTTAGGGTTATCCTTCCCCTTCATTCATTACTAAGCCACATCCTTATTGTAAAGAAACAAAATAATGACTTTTATAAGTTGCCCCCAAGGCCTAGCTTGAGTGGCAAAAGGTGGAGGATTTGTGACTTATGTCGCAGGTTCAAGCCCCACACCATGCAAAGCGAAGCCCGGTATTTAAGTGGAGAAGGGTAGAGGGGCGGGCCCATTATCCATCGAGTTTAGAAGGCTGTGATTGGTCCAAAGGGCAGACGGATTTCTCAGTTATAAAAAAAAAATGACTTGTTGAAGTTGATATTTACTAAGTTCTGCCTGTAAGTGCATGTAAATTGTGATGTTCTTTGTAATCTTGTACTCTCTTCAACTTTTACTCCTATTCTCTCTCTACATCTTTTTTATTATTGTGCTCCATTTGTCACCAGGGTCATAAGAGCTATGTTCCCAATATGATCAGTGGAGCATCTCAAGCTGACATAGGTGTGCTGGTAAGAGCTTTTGTCGTATATCTTTTAAGTCTTTCATTTTGTGTGAATCAACTCTTTACTTGGAAATGTTGAATCCTGAATTATTGAATTCTGTAACAAAATGGGTCCAAATATAGTGAATTGGACAGTGAGGATTCATATGAGAACTCCAATAGGTTGGGATTGAGGCATAATAATTGTAGCTGATCATTGTTTGCTCTATTGTGAAGGTTATATCTGCCAGAAAGGGTGAATTCGAAACTGGATATGAAAGAGGTGGGCAGACACGTGAACATGTTCAATTGGCAAAGACCCTAGGGGTTACAAAGCTTATTATTGTTGTAAATAAGATGGATGATCCTACTGTCAATTGGTCTAAAGAAAGGTGATCTTCCGTCTACTATTTTGATTTGTATTATCACATCCTGTATACACTAGCAACTAATCTTGATCCAACTTATTCATGAAGGTATGATGAGATTGAGTCAAAAATGGTTCCGTTCTTGAGATCATCTGGGTACAATGTCAAGAAAGGTAAAGAAGGATTATTTACTTGCAGATTGCCTCTTTGTTTGATGTACTTGTTTTTTCATATTTATGTTCATTTATTGAATGTAACTGGTAACTGTTATTCTCTACTTTGTTTAAAGATTTTACATATTGGCTAAGCTGCTGATGCTTGATTCGTGTTCTTTTTGTGCTTGAATTTCAGATGTTCAATTCCTTCCAATCTCCGGGCTTTTTGGTTCAAATTTGAAAACTAGATTGGAGAAGAGTGTATGCCCATGGTGGAGTGGTCACTGCCTTTTTGAAGTCCTTGATGCAGTCGAAGTTCCACCTCGAGATCCTAATGGTCCATTGAGGTACTTCTTTCCTCTTTCTACTTATTTGGTGGCATCTTCCTATTGCTGTTTCCTTCTGCACTCATATTTTCTAATTCCAATGCTAACCTTCTAGGTTATTTTGCTCGAGGAGTAAGACTTGGAAGTTTTGTTTGTAATATTTATTTGATCTTTTATTTCTATGCATCATCACTCTTGTTTCCTTCACCGGATCATAAGCGAGGAATTCCTTCTATTTTTCTTGTCTCGTAACTCCCCTCTACACTTGTGCCAAGTTGTTTACCTATTTCAATTTCCATTTTCTTTGCAGAATGCCTATTATTGACAAATTTAAAGACATGGGAACTGTCGTTATGGGTAAAATTGAGTCTGGAAGCATACGTGAGGGTGATAATCTACTGATTATGCCAAACAAGGTGCTATTTTTTTTACCTTAATTGTATCAAGTTTTTTGATTGATGGAATACTCGAGGAAATTCATCTCACGAGCTGATTTATAGGCTGCTGTAAAAGTTCTTGCCATATTCTGTGACGAAGACCGAGTAAGGCATGTTGGTCCCGGGGAAAATGTGCGTGTTAGGTTATCTGGAGTTGAGGAAGATGACCTTTTGTCAGGCTTTGTCTTGTGCAGTGTTGGTATGTTTTCTCAACTGATCTATCTCCTTGTCATAATGAATTGACATTCCTTATCTTCTTGATCTATCACTATGCCAATTATTCTGATTGTTTCTATTGCTAACGAGTTAAATAATAGAAGAAATATTACTTCTATTGACCATGTGATGTAAACAAGTGGTATGTATCTGATAACATGTCATGAGAAAGAATTGTGTTACATATGACATAACAGCTCACTGGTAATGGACTGGTGAATATGTTATTGTTTTATTTGCTAGGGAAAAAAGGCATAAAAGGTAGCCTTTTTTCACTGGGGTGTGCAAAGCAGTTAGCAGTCTGTACTTTTGTGAATTTAAGAAGGGTGTTATGTTTTTAGATGATACTGTATATGTCATGTTAGTCCCTGATTATGTCAAACCCTTTTACAAATATCAGTTGCACCAGTGGGCTAGCAAGAACAAATAAATACAATACTTGTATTTAATTCTTGTGTTGGAGTCGCTTTCTGTCTAGGCTGTCCACAGTCTCTAGTTTAATCATATTTTTGTGGAGAATTTATGAAGGGTGCAAAAGATACAACTTTTGACAGCACTTCATTTAATCAGGTAGGTTAGTTAGATATTGAGCTCTATGAGAAGCTGATATGTATGATAATTTGAACAAGTCATGCAAATGAATTAAGTTGTAGCAAAAAGCATTCAAACAAATAGGAAATGGTTGCAAGTGCAACTCATACAAAAATATCTTATCAGCTATTTGATAACAAACTAACATTGATATGTAGTCCTTACCTGGGCAACACACACACATTCAGTTGTAGCTGGTGTTGAGGTGGCTTGCACTTGAAGTCAATCACTATGTAGTCTGCTAACAAATATACAGTTACCAGCTTCTTTAAAAAAAAGGCAAGAGGAAGATATTTGACAAGGATAAGAGAGGAAGTGATTTCTTTGTCTTGGTTTAATGAAAATTTAAATGTGGTTTCATATTGTAATCTCAAGTGGGTTTAGACTATCATTTTGTGGTGGATAGCTTTCAAGCGTTTTTGTATTTCTAACAAAGCTTACTGTTTGCAGCAAAGCCAATACCTGCAGTTACTGAGTTTGTTGCACAGTTACAGATTCTTGAGCTGTTGGACAATGTATGAATCCAACCCTAACTTAGCATTTCATTACCTCACTTGGATTCTAAATTGCACATGTGCTACCAGTCTTCTGTTAATGGAATTTCATGTTGTCAGGCTATTTTTACTGCTGGATACAAAGCTGTATTGCATGTCCATGCGGTTGTTGAGGAATGCGAGATTGTTGAACTGATGCAGCAGATTGATCTAAAAACGAAGAAACCTATGAAGAAAAAACCTCTGTTTGTTAAGAATGGTGCTATTGTTTTATGCCGTGTTCAGGTTAGCTGTCTAGTTGAAAACCTGTAGATTGGGAATTCATGGTTCTTAGATCGACTCTTATGGTTGTCTTTCATAATTGTGGGTTACTTCAAGTTATATTTGAATTTGCAGAAGGTACAATTCCTGTATCACAATGTGTTCTGTGTTTTGTCCCACCTTTCTAACAGAGAATGATGAAGATTTTCTAGTTTGAGGACAAAATCTTTGCTTTACCTTGAATTCCCTAGGCCCTTTCAAGTTCACCCTTTTTTGGTTGTTTTTAGAGCTAGATCCTTAGGTTAACGTCTTGTGTTGGTATTTGAACCTCTTGAAACTATCATGCCAGGTGAATAATATGATATGTGTAGAGAAATTCTCCAACTTTGCACAACTTGGACGATTCACTCTTCGCACTGAAGGTAAGAAACCATTGTGTTTGTAACCTCAAATTTCTTTTTATTTCTGTATCATCACACGACATAGGAGGATCATAATTTCTGTCATTTGTGCAGGGAAAACTGTTGCTGTGGGGAAAATTACTGCACTGCCTACTGTTGCTGATAGTGCATAAACAGCATAGGCAAACTCAGAAGGTGGACTTCTTGCTTCCTTTTGTTGCTACTTCACATAAAAGTTTTTTGGAAATAAACATGATTTGAGTTGTGAGATTTTAGGAATTATCCAGTATTGAACATTGATTTTTAGATGTTGTAGTTTTGTGGACCATTGCTTTTGATATCTGGTTTCAAGCCGATGATCACTCACACGTATCTTTACTATTTGAATTGTGTTTTCAGAGGTAAGTAAAGTTGAGCATACAAGGTTTTCATTGCACCCTGCTAGAGCAGTGGCAACACAAACATGTGGTCCTCCGCAGCATTTATTGGAACAGAAGTTGGTCCTTTGTTCAGATACACACATAAATGTTCATCAGTTTAGTGGAGATGTTTTCCACAGCGTGGTGTTGTTTCTGGTTTTTGTTATTTTCACCCCCATCCGATGATGTATTGTTTTCTAGAATGATATCCAGTATGAGGTTATTTGGTTAAACACTTGTGCCATCATAACTTAAAACAAAATTTTGGCATTGGAACTTTAAGTTCATGCGTGCTGCACATCTGTTATTCAATTCTTGACATTGACTATGACTATTAGTTTATTGAGCTGATATTTATATAATCCAGGACCTATATTTTTTGGACATTATATAAAGTATCTTGCAGAAATATTATTACGGTATATAAAATCAACAAGCTTTCCTCTAGTCTTTTGGCATTAATCCTCGCGAGTTCCAGCTACATCTTTCCTTTTTTGTGACCGGTACGATCTGTCTTACACACATTGGGAATATGCATTTCTTGCTTGGTCTAAGGTTAGAGTATGCAGTGAAATCGGGGTGTGCATAAAGCTTACTCGTACCTTTGTTGAGGTAGAGGTAACAATATGGTCTAAAGTTGGTAAATAATTGTCAAGATAGTGATAATTATTTCTTATGGCCGATGTCAAATTAAGATAATAGTGTATGTTAGAATGCAGTAAATGATGTGTGATAAACAATTAAATTATAGGAATTAATTAATTTAGACGTATTGAATTTGTGGATGCACCATTCTATTAGGAGGTTAAAAAAGCAAAAACAAAAGAAGGAAAACGAAGGGGCGCGTCTATCAATTAACTAGAGCCACTTATGAGATGCTGCTGCAATCTTCTTCCTTCTTCTCCTTGAAATGGGGTACATCTTCTCTCAATCCCTCAATCTGCACTTTCCAAATCCCTTGCTGTCATTACTCCAAATTACCAACTCCTCTGAGATTCTCTGCTCTAAAAACCAGAGCCATCCATGACGAAAAGGACCAGAATTCTCAACCTTCCATTCTCATTCAAGATGAAGAAAACGAACTACTTAACCAGGTATAACTCCACCTTTCCCCTTTCTCATGGATTTTTGAAGTAAGATTGGTCCAGAATATTACTATACGAGTTGTAGTGAAAGCTCAATTGAGCTCATCTAAAGATTGAGTTTATACGTGGTCTAAATTGACTCGTAAAAAAACTTATTTTTCTGTTTGATATGTTTTACCTAATAATCATAACAACAACATCAACATATCTATTGTAGTCCACAAAGTAGGGTTTGAGTAGAGTGTACCCAAACCTAAAATTTACCATAGAGGTGAGGTAGAGATGGGAAAATCTCATACACCCTCAAGTCAAGACCAAAACATTCTAGATAAAGATGTAACGGAAGTACAAGAGACAATAGATAGTAATAAAAATAATAAAATAATACACACGGAACCATATATAGCAATAGAAATTGAAGAACAAGAAACTACGAGAGTTGTCCTATGACTACTAGTAAGGGCAGCAAGACAATGCACTCCTACCTACTAGTATGGACACTCCTACCTGCTAATAATCATAAGAAAGAAAAAAGTTTTATTAGTTATTTAAATGAATTATAAGAGAAAAAAAAACCATTTTAGATTGGTTGGATTATTCACTTTCGTTTTCCAACTGGTTGTGTGAATTTATGTTGGTAAAATTTTAATTTAGGAAGTTGAAGAGAGTGTAAGAGTACTGAAAAATGCTGCCAAAACAAGAAAGGTTCCAGCAGAGGAGATTTTGGCTGCTTTGGCTGTGATCGAGAGAGAAAAAATTGATTCCTCCAGGTTTCTTGAAACTCTTGGTGGAACCAAATCGCCTGGAAGGACATGGATGCTCATTTTTACAGCTGATGTTTGTAACTGGTTTTTATTTTCGTTCGTTTTTTATGCTTTGATCAAGTTCCCTATATTGTCCAATGCTTCATTTTAACTTGAAACCTTTATATTGCAGAAAGGATTAGGACAAGGTAGATATTTCCCAATTACTGCCATACAGAGATTTGATGCAGCTGTAAGCTTTGCTTGTCTTTTTTATCCGTCTCTTAACACTGATTATGGTAATTACTCTTAATTTAGAAGATAAAACTAGAGAATATGCATTCTAACGACGACTTAGAGTAATGATTCATATGACCTTTTGGATAACAGCTAAATAATAATACTCTTAATGGGGTGATATAACTATGTTTGTTAGTTTTTGTCTCTCTTCCCTACTTCTTGTGTCATGTAATGGTCGGTACAAATCCAGATTACAATTTCCTTCCTGAACGCAACCAAATAAGCAAGACTCGTGTCTTTGTATAACTTGTGGATTTACCATGGTAGAGAGATGATTAGATCAAATGACAGATTACATGGTTGTTGCATGTGAGAGCAGGGGGTGCTACAGCAATGAACATGAATAACAGATCCTTTTGTTTCTAATTGTGTAAACTGTTAGATGAGATAACATCAAATAATTCAATCTCATAGAGACCTATGGTGTTAGCTAATTCTCGTCAGTTATAAATTGTGTATCTAGTTATATAATGTTACACTGGGGATCTTCTATAAAATGACTATCTTAGTGTACATTTCCCTGCTCGGAATTAACTTCAAATCCAAGAGAAGAAGATAAAGATAAACAAGTGCACACCCGCTATTCAAATATATTTTTTTGTGCTATACAAGCAACCTACATTATCTCTTTAAATATCTGCTTCCTTTAGTTGTTCAGATGATGCACTCCAATTTAACTGCAGAGTGTAGATGCTTTCTTCTTTCAATCCTAAGATGAATAATATGTTTGAATAAAATTCTAGGCGAAGAGGATTGAAAATGGTGTTTACCTGGGGCCTCTTGGATTCTTGACATTTGAAGGGCCATTTTCATGGAAGAATAGGATTCTAGCTTTCGTATTTGAGAGGCTTCGGATAAAACTTGGACCATTCGATCCTTTTGATATCAGTATTAAGGGAAAAGAGGAAAGAGAACCTAGCAATAAGGATAAGGATCCATTTTTCATCTGGTTTTACATTGACGAGGAAATAGCTGTTGCTCGAGGACGGAGTGGAGGGACAGCTTTCTGGGTCCGTTGTAGACGTGTTGGTTATTCCTGAAAGCTTCTGTATGTATGTATAGTTTGACTCTCCCAATGCACATGACGTTGGATAGAAATACTATACTGCTGAATTTATGAAGTGTATGGTATATGTAAAGGAACTAGGAGAGATAATGTCAATATTATAGGAGGCATTCCCTTCCTTCACTGTTTCAGTTATTTTACTTGTGTGTTAATAGGTATTACTCTTAGATTGAAAAATCTTTGTAAACTAGATTACAAGAGTATAGAATAAGGTTCTTATTTGCATATATTTATGGTTTGTAGAAATAATACTATAGCAGGCTCATTTGGTTCAGGCGCGTTAGCAATGATGTTTGGACAATCAAGATCATTGGTGGCATCAGTTTCATCTTGGTTCACACATCATCTGCTCTTGATGTTGCAAATGGGACTGTTGTCTGCTTACATAAAGGTGAATTATATATAACAGCAACTTCAATATAAAACCGCCAGAATAAAGATCAATTATCCTTACAAACCTGAGAAAAGAAGGCTTAGCAACAGACACATAACATAGGAGTTGCACACAGAATGAATAGGACATCACCACAACACTTTAACAATCATAAAAGGAGACTTATTGTTTGTTTGTTTCTAGGGAACGCAAGTAGTTTAGACCACCTTGAAAGTAGTTGACTAGGGTTTCTTGTTGTGGCATGCTTTCGTGTATAATAGGAATCTCTTTGAAGTTTTCAGCCCATTGATGGAGTGAAGGGAACTTCTCTGGATCAAGTAGCTTCACATTTCCTACTTCCTCCATGGCACTGAGCCAAAGAGTTTTCCAACCCATCACTAGATCCAGGTAGCCTATCTGCTCCCCGCCAAAAAACTTCTTGCCTTCAATCTGCTTCTCGATAAATGCATACAATTCTTGTACTGACTCTATAGCTTTTGCTTTTGCCTCTCCTTCATCTTGCATTGCCATAGCTTGCCATGATCCTATGACACACTGAACATGAAAATTAACACAATCAGAAAGCTACCATTTAGTAATTTGCTATTCTTGTCTATGATATTTTATCAGATGCATTAACTTGTATAGCATTATTTCTTAACCATTAAATTGTTGTCAATTGCATTCTTCACACCAAATTACTTGAAATGGTTCCATATATATGATTGCAGTTGACTGAAGATCATGTTTATGGTCTCATAATTTAAGTTATGAACGTTACTGTCTTAGTACATATATCTGCTAGCTTTTGTACAACAACATATCCAGTGTAGTCATACACAGTGGGGTCTGTGGAGGGTAGTGTGTACGCAGACCTTACCTCTACCTCATAAGTGACAAAAAACAGTCTAGGAATCTGCTAAGTTTTTGTATGCCTTATAATATGAAGAATTGGATTATGCCAAGAAAGAAAATCTTACCTTGTCATCAACAAATTTTGCCCAGAAACGAGCTGTAGCTCGTTCATGAGGATCCTGAGGCAACAAAGAGTATCCTTTCCATGTTTCATCAATATATTCAAGGATAACAAGTGATTCAACGACGGGTTTGTCATCGTGTAGTAGGACAGGGATCTTCTTATGGACAGGATTGGACTTGATGAGCAACTCACTCTTGTTCAATAAATCTTCTTGTATATATTCATAGTCAATTCCCTTGAGCTTCAAAGCCCATTCTACTCTGGTGCAAAATAAGCTTCCTGATGACCCTATCAACTTCACTTCTCCCATTTTTTCAATGAAAAATCTATAGAATTTGCTGTGACTGATACAATTTGTTTGAATATTTTGCTTTACTCTCTAGTCTTTATATGCATTAATATAGTCTCATGACGAAGGTGCTATGATGGAACCACAAGTATAAAAATAAAATCTACAGTATTTTTATTTCTTCCATAAATCGAAAAATCTAAGACGACTCATTCAACTTGTATTTTTTAATTAGGTGTTCATACTCTTTTTGGTCTATTTATCATGTTTGACTTTTGCATGTCCCTTAAAATAGTTTTACTAAAAGGATTTAAATTACCTTTGTTTAATCTTTTACTCTATTTAATCTATTGCAGTCAAGTTCCAACAATCGAACACCCAAAAAAAATATATTCGTTGCATCAAAAAGGAGAAAAAAATGGCATTCCCCTCTATAGTCCATTTGAAGTAGTTTATAAATTTAAGAGACTTTTTGGACGTTACGACCGAGTTTATATTTCCATCGTACAACGAATATGCGTTATTTCTGCAATTTGTGTATATATTATAGTGGACACCAAATTTATTGGACTAAATCCTAAATTCAATGCACAATGTTATACTTTGAAATTATGAGCAAAACATTAATGAAAAATGATATAACATACAGAAAATTTGTTCATAAAGAATTGTTATATCGTGGGAAATGCTGAAAAATATTATATATATATTAGGCATCCACGATCTTTTCTGATTGGGAAGTGGACCTGTTATTATATTTTCTATTTCATTAGTCAATGTTATCTTCCAGAAGAATCAATGAAGTGAATCTTGAGCACGTTATTATTATTATAGAAATCAAAATCAATATAGCCTACTTATTTTATACTAAAAGGTAAGACTAATATCAATGGAACGCTACTTGAAAACGGCTCTATAATTCAGCAAAAAGAAATAAAAGAAGAAGCTAATTTATCAACTTAAGTTTTCACATGACAAAATAATCAAGAAAAAACTCTAGCTTATCATATCATATATATATATATATATATATATATATATATAAAAGAAAATCTTAGGCCCGCCTACGTGGCGCCATTACACACCTGAATTACTTTTAAATTTATTTATTTTCAAAACTAGCCTTTCCCTTTCATGAAAAGTTGTGACTTTTATGAAGAGTTGCCACTTTAATGAAGAGTTGCGACTTTTATGAAAAGTTGTGACTTTTATGAAAAGTTGTGACTTTAATGAAGAATTGCTACTTTTATGAAAAGTTGCGTCTTTTATGAAAGGTTGTGACCTTTCCGAAGGATTGCAACTTTTTCAAATAGTTGTAACCTTTCCGATAAGGCACAATAAACATTTGTTCACACTACCCTTTGTTGTCTATAAATAGAGGGATTTCCTCTCATTTTAAAACAACGAAAATTCTAAACTTTTTTTTTTTTCACAATTAAATATTTGTGTACTTTGCTCCTGTCGAGTGACTCACTGGCACCATTGCTTATGTTACAGATCCTGGTATGTATTTTTACAGTCATTAATTTATGCTTATGTTATTAAGGATAAATGATATGATATAATAATTTTCATTTTCCTTTATATTAGTAATGTTTGTTACTACGTAATCTTGTATGTAAGATGATATAATGTTTAGTTTTAATGACTAATAGGTTTTAAGTATTATTTTATAAATTCCGTGATATTCGCACATGTAATTTTACTAGTATATATATATAAAAGAGAACCCTAGACCCGCCTACATGGCGCCACCACAAATTAGTATTCTCTTTTAATTTATTTTATTTCGAAAACTATCCTTCCTCTGTCATGAAAAATTGTGACTTATATGAAGAATTGTGACTTTTATGAAGAGTTGCAACTTTTATTGTGACTTTTATGAATGGTTGTGACCTTTCCGAAGGTTTGTGACCTTTTCGATAATACACAATAAGCATTTATTCACACTATCCTTTGTTGTCTATAAATAGAGAAATTTCCTCTCATTTTAAAGCAACGAATTTTTTTGAACTTCTTCTTATGGACAATAAAATATTTGTGTATTTTGCTTCTGTTGAATGACTCACTGACACCATTGTTTTTGTATCAATACACTGGTGAATAGAATCGTTCTATACCGAGAGGATCTATTCCTTTAAACCTCGGGTACTAGAGGGGAATAATTTCTTTAAGGGGACACTGTGCATTCAGTGAGCTCAATTTTTTCCATTCTGTTGTTATAGATTTTGGTATGTTTTTAACAATCATTAATTTATGCTTATATTATTAATTGATATTTTTGAGTACATGTTTGTAATGTTGTTCATGTTTCTGCAAAGTTATTGTTACAAATATTTGTTAGTATAGATTAAATAACAAACGTTAATTGAGTATTCAAGAAAGTTTACTCTACTGAATTTGTTGAAGGTACAATAAAAAAAACCTCTTATAAATCTCTAATTTCTTCATCAACAATGTCATTCATTCACATACAAGGGTGAGATTTTGTGTTCTTAAGAAAATCCTCTGAGAGTTAATAACTTTGCATTCCCATATTTGTTGGTTTTTATGTTGTTGTTATCTATTTTTACTAAATTTTATCAGTGGATATTATGAATACTTTAAGGATTGAAAGTTGATCGAGGTGTTAGTCAATTTTTTGAGGTATGTTATTTCAAAACCTAAGAACTTTTCTAGTTAAAATGATTTGTTATCATCATTGGATATCTCATAGTTTACTCCCTTTAATGCATGTTTTTTCTCGCTGTTTTGTTGTCTCCTTAAAATTGTATTGATTATTTTTCATTTGGTATGTATATGATCTCACTTGGACAAAGATTTCGTCCTTTTAATGTTTTTCTTTTTTTTCCTTCTCATTAGGCTCTTCTAAATATTTTTGGTGTGAGTTATGACTATTTTTTGACAAGCTTAATTTGAAGAATATGAAACAAAACTTGCTCTAAATAAAAGTAATACTTAAGCTACAAAAGATATGTCTATTAATATAGATTTGTTGTCCTTCTTGTCCCAAGTCATTGCTGAGCGTTTGAGTTATCTAGGTTAGACTCATTTTTAATTTTTTAATGTTCCAGAATATTTCTTTAACATGAGTCTAGAATCTAAAATTTTGATCTACTTGTACTTTCATAATGCAACAATTATACATACATATTACTGAAAAAGTCGTAAAATTGCATTGATGAGGCATCTAGAAGGGCCTTCAGAGCAGCAATTTAATTAAGAATGAATTTCTAAAAGGGTCAACAATATTATTTTGCTGTTTTTTCAAATTTATTTTTCTCCTTCTATAAATTTTGTTAGAGTAACAAAGTAACAATAACGAAAAGTGGTGAACGTTTGACCTCAAACAAGTAGATTGTCTCAAAAAAATTTATTTATGTTGTTGTCGTGTACATTTTTAACGGTCTCAAACAAGTAGATTGCTCCCTTGGTGACTCGAACTCGCAACCTTCGGGTTGGAAGTGAGGGTTGCTTACCATCCGAGCAACTCCCTCTCGTCTTATTGTAATGTTTGAAACTAGCATTTAAAAACAAATAAAAAAGAATTTGTAATTCACTTTGTTCAACACTTTTCACTAATAAT